CAGTTATTGTACCAACAAGAAGTGAAATATTCGTATCAGGACTTATTAAGAATAGATTTACTTTTAGTGAGTGGGGCATAGTAGAACCAAAGTTTTCAGCATGTCCTGAGGGATTAATGGTTGGAATAACTATCGTGGATCTGAGGTATAAAGATGTTATCATTAGGACCATGAATGCAACAATCCATAAAATTTAAATCGTGTGTGGCTGGGACATTGCAAGGTGTAAGACTTTGCAGGAAGTACTTCCATGAAGTACTCACATAAAGACAGCTTACCAGAACACTGTATAACCAGAGCTGTAGAGGTCGTACAGCTACTCAATGCCATAGATTGCTCACACAATATCAAGACATCTTCTCCAGTATACCTAATGACTTGGGTTAGACAAATAAAATATATCATACGATTGATACTGAAGATGCAGCCTCCAATATTCCAGATGACTCTCACTTACAGAGCAAGTTAAGAGTTTTAAAGCGATAGAAGCCATGAAGGATTGATTTGGCTTGTTTTTTGAATTTTGTGCAAACATATACGAGGGCTATCTGTGCCAGCCATCCCTAATTTAGCAGTGAAAGACTAGAGGGAAGGAAGCTAGTCATCACCATCCACTGCCAACTCTTGGGCTACAATTTTACCAATGAATAGTGGGATTGACCGTTACTTTATAATGCCCTAACGGCTGAAAGGCAAGCATATTTGTGGAAGGGGGATTCGAACACGCGACCCTCAGATTGCGAGTCGAGTGCCCTACCCACCTGGCCATGCTATGAGGGAACAAGGAGTGATAGAATCAATTACTAGTGCATGGGAATCATCTATTGTACTCGTGAAGAAGAAGAAAGGGTCCACAAGGCTCTGTGTGAACTGTCAGAAGGTGAATGAACTCACAAGGAATGATGAGAACCCATTGCCGAGGACTGACTCTACTTTGGGTTCTTCAGCTGGATTAAATGATTTTCAACATTGGATCTAAAGAATGAATATTGGCAAGTGTAAGTCAACGAAACACATAGAGAGAAGACAGCCTTTACAGCAGGAAATGGATTGTTGCAATTTGTTGTGAAACTATTTGAATTATATAAAACACCTGCTATATTTCAGTGACTAACAGGGTGTACTCCCTTTAAATTACCCTGAGATATTGTATTCATCTACTCGCATGAAGTAATTATAGATGGGAAGACTTTTGATAACGCATATGATTGGTTAAAGAAAGTTTTGAATTGGTTGAGAAAAGTGAACAATAAGATGAATTCCACGAAGTGTAATTTGTCCCATCAACAGGTGAGTTTTTTAGGATACATAGTCAGTAAAGAAAGAGTGTTGACAGACATATCAAAGATTAAATTTGCCCAGAACTAGCCAACACCAAAGGTCTTGTGTGAGGTAAGAGGATTTTTTTCTATTGTACTTTTAATATCATCATTTTGTAAAACTATTCTCTGGCAGAGGTCGTCCTATACACAAGTTAGTAGAAAAATCAAATAAGTTTCGTTGAACTACTGATTATGAACTAGCAATATCATTCAATAAACTGAAAGAAGAAATGACTGTTACGTCTCTGGTCGTTTGTTAATTACTCGTAAAAATTTGTTCCGAAGAACTTCAGCGATACAAGTTCTTTCTCAAATAAAACTAGTTTATTCTTTTTCAATTCAACTTTGCAATACACTTAAGTTCCACAGTCATTTTAACTTCAACACGCGCTATAATTCTCAACGAACGATTCACGCACTTTACTTACTAACGCGCTTGACTCAATTGTCCGTCTATATCTTTTATCTCTCTGTCTGCTATTTCCGTTCCGATTGATTGTCGGGCTTATATATTAGAATACAGCACATCTAGCAAACACTCGAGCATTTACGAACCTTCGAGATACTCATTACATGTTACCAGCGTCACATCCCTTCCGTGACGTAACATAACCAACAATCCTGTATTAGCATTCCAGAATTCTTGAAGATACACAGATTTTAGATACAAATTTCAGTGATTCTGCAGGGGTAATAGTGTTATATCACAAGTATAATACCGAAAATAGCATGTGATTGCCTATTATATCAAGGCAATGAATGCTGTTGTAAAGAGGAATTGCACAGCTCTAAAAAAGCTAGTAATTATTGTTCGATCCCTACATCATTGCTATCATTACTTATACGAACAAAGGTTTACAGTAATGAAATGGGTTGTGAATATTTGCAATCCATTAGGCCAAATAGTAAGATGGCTCCATAAATTTCAGGAATACAACTTTAACATTGTGCATTACCCTGGGCCTAGCCATGGAACTTGGAAGTTCTAACACATTCTCTCAAAGACAGTGTGTTAATGAAGAATGTAAACACCGTGAAAAGAAGAAATCATAAGGTAGTAAAGACGACTAACCTAAAGGACAACAGAATATAATCCAAGATAAGAAATCTACAAGCACTTAGTACTGATCATACCTAATAGACCAATGTTCTGTCGAAACGTGTTGTAAGTTCCACCATAAAATATATATATATATATTACCTTATGCTTATAAATCGCTGTTCGTCTACCTGTTATTAGACTACTATTTCTAAAGTAGAAGAGGACTTGTAGTTCAGTTAACAGCGTGGAAAGCACTTATTATAGGATTTAATTTATTGATTTTAGAGCTACAAGAAGTTAAATGTTTCATCTTATTTTTATCTGTAGCATAGCGGCTCATGAGTCATACAATGATTCCGAGTATTTTTTTCAAGTACAAACTTTATAGCTCCGTCAACTCTTGGTCGACTTGAGATCTTTTTACAGTTTTAGGCTCAGTAGGTCAAACCCTTTTGATTGATGTATTTGACCACGCCTTAGGTCTCAATGTTTAATTTATACTAATCCTGTTTAAAAGAATTTTAATTTTAGGGTAGGCTGGTAGAAATCCTGATGAGTAGTAAAACGGAATGAGGTATACCCGTGCCCCACGCTTGGTATTGCTGGCGCACAAAAATATAGCTAATAAAAAGGAGAAAAAAGTGTCTCATAGATTAATTTACTGTAATCCTGCCTAAAAGAATTTCAAGTATCACTGCTATTGAATATTCCCATTTGTTTGTATAGGCCTATAGAGGATAAAAGAAAACAATTGAGAAGTTTTTTGTAAGAATATGTTTGAATTGGAGTTCTGACTAGATAAGTCGGACATTATCTATTACAAAAAGAAAGTTTCAAAATTTCAAATATATTAACTTATTAGTATTTAATTTCACGACTTAATTAATTTAACATAGAATTATCCGAAGTCTGAACTGGAGATTTTATTTTATTTTGTTTATAGTTGTTATCCTAACATTATGACAATATTGCAGAAATAGGGTTGTTGGTAAACAAATATTTTTAAGAGTTTTGTGGACCATATATATTTAAATCTTTCATACTGTGATTTAATTTGAAAAAGTAAAACTTTCTTCCATATTCACGTTTTGATTTATTTGTAGTTTAGTTATTTTAAAATATTTGTGGCCATTTTTTTTATATTTTACATGGTTGCTAGTGTCAATTGAGTCCTTGTGGAAGAATCCACGCGCCATTTTTACAAATTTAAACAAAGACGACCGGTCGATTTATCGCTGGAAAAAAATCGCTTTTACAATGAATTCCACAGAAAACAAAACAGACATTGCTACCCAGAAAGCTAGAGAAAGTCTACAGGAAAAAGAAAAGGGGTCTGGAGACTTAAAATCTGAAACAAGTCCACATAAAAGAACTGCATCAGAAGTAAGCACCTAATTTAATCCTAATAGTAATACTACTACTAATACTAGTCTCCATGGTTTAACGAGCTTGTTACGGTTTAGTTGTACTTGTAACGTGATGCTTTTCGAGTCGTTGGCCGTGTAGGCTATTTTCAGGTATATTATTTATGTGCGCATTGAACTTGTTTTTTTTTGTTGTTGTTACCTTAGTTTAGGCCTCAAACTACATTTTCTTGGTACTTTTAGTTTTACTTTATATCTGTAGCCTGTAGATATACTATTAGTATTATTACAACAATTTGTACAACCAACTTAATAAATATAGAAATAAAATGTTTTCATATACATTTTTATCTTTAAAAGTTTCAGATCGTCAATTTAGTGACTAATTAAGATATTATTTGAGTGTTGGTATGATTTGGGTTAGTTTGTTTTGAAATTTGGGCAAAGCTACATGAGGGCTATCTGCACTAGCCGTTGCTAATTTAGCAGTGTAAGACTAGAGGGAAGGCAGCTAGTCATCACCACCCACTGCCAACTCTTGTACTACTCTTTTACCAACGAATGGTGGGATTGACCGTCACATTATAACGATCCCACGGCTGAAAGGGCGAGCATGTTTGGTGGGACGGAGATTCGAACCCGCGACCCTCAGATTGCGAGTCAAGCTCCCTAACCACCTGGGATCTATTTTTAAAAGTGATATATTGTGCCAATCTAATGATCAGATCCAAGAGACAATTTTTTTTTAATTATACAGTACAGTGCTGATACATAACTTAAAATAAATGGATCATACAATCTTCAATAATACGTAAGACTTTTAGTTATGGACCATGTGACACACCAGTGAGTCACAGACAATTATATTTCAAAGCCAAATTTACCTTGTGGTATATGAGTTTGGGACACTGTGGCTGCTCCTTGGCACCTCTTGAATGTTTAATTTGTTTTTACCCTCAATTAATTATGAAGCAGTTAACGTGTTAAGTATTACTGAATAGAACATTACTACATTTCTATTCAATCACATTAAAATATTTAACTTTTTTTTTTTTATTATGTAGGTAAACAATTTCAGTAAAGAAGGCAATGATGTATAAGTGTCAAAATCCTTATTTATAGTACATAATAAGAAAGCTGCAATCATGTTAAACATAATTTTTATTGTATGAGCTGTTCTATCAAAGTTTCTAAGTGGGATGGGCTAAAGCATTAAAATGCTGTTTATGTAATATTAAAAAATATACAAATAAAATAATAAAGCTAAAACAATTATCTTAAACTCAAGAAAATGTGCATGGGTAAATGTTGCAGGAACAACTATTTTGTTTGAGAAGCATATATAGAACAAGGTAACGAAACTTTCAGAAACATTGGGTCAAATCCAGGGAGTTCCAATGCATTCCCAGAGGTAGTATCATTAACATTTATTAGAAGATGTACATACCTAACAATCAAATGAACCATTTGAAATTCACTTTGGCCAAGTTTACTGATTGTGTGAAAATATACAGTACTTCCTTTCAGTTTTGGACTGCAACATAAATTAATAAAAATCTTTCATATTGTTTATGTTTATTACACTGAAAGATCATTGCAAGTTTCACACTGTAGCCCATTCAAACTATTTCACAAGTGAGAATAAATGTTTTACATATCAGTAAATTATGTAAATGCTTAACCACAACCCAGAGTTTAAATATAATTCTGTATGAAGTTTGTTCTAGCTTTAGCTAAAGAAATAGATTTAATCTTTAACTCACTTTATTAAAACTAAAAAAAATATTAAAGAATATTTTTTAACACAACCTTCTAACACCATGACACACTAAGAGGGTGTGCTACACAACCTCACACAGGGACTAGAACTGTCAAAGGTAAATTTTAACTAATGATTTATTAGATTCTAAGGTTAAGTACATCATTTTCACAGTAAGTCAGGCATTCTACCTTGAATTTGAAGGGTCGATAACCTTTCTCCAACGCCTAAGGTAATAGCTGTTACTGTTAGCGAATTAAGTTTAGAGCCCAGAAACTTGTAATCAATAAAAAAATGACAATTCAAAAAATGTCACTTATTATTATAGACTAGTATTACTATTAGATTTTGGAATATTTACTTAGAAACGACTTATCCTGCCACTAAATTTATATTTAGCATTTTAACTTTTATGCCAAGTATATTGGTAATCAATGCATTCAACCGATTTTTTCAAAAGATTAAGTTTTGATCCTTTGAGGATACTTTGGCTATTATTTTGTATATATTGATATTATTATCATAAATTAAAATGTACATTTAAATTTATTTAAACAGCCAAAAGTACGTACAGATTGTTGAGTAGGTTATATTAACATGATTTTGGAGCTTCATCAGTGTCATTACAGTGTATATTTTCATGTCTGGTTTTGATTTATCTAATGGTCGTGCAATTTGATAATAGTCCTGCAGAGTAGGCTCCGTCATAATGCTGTCATGACAAAAGCATACCACTCTCCCCAGCTTAATTTCTATAATCCATCTAGTGTATGAGTATGATGGTTTTCAAGTGACTGATTTAACAATGGTAACACAGAAATCATTGTTGCTTTATCCAGCAACTTGGTTGATATGTCTTCAAATAGAATAATATGATTACCTGTATCTTTCTCCAGCTGCTTGAGGTATGCGATGGTTCAATGAATGTATACTGAAAGCCTTATCTTGGTGAATTCATATCCTGTTGACCTAGTTTCCAGAAAAAGATCATTTCTGATTATGTTTTGTATTGTTGCCTGGAGCCCATGGATGGCTTTGGCCAGAAATTTTTGTGTTTGTCAAGTTGTGGATTCTTCCTGTTACAAAAGTAGTAGTTTGCTTACCATGGTTGGGATGCAACTTGTTGCAGGTTACTTTGGCAATATTCCTGGTGCACTGAGTGGATATGTATTTCCTTTATTTTCCAGTGATATTAAATACAATGTGTATCTCCATCTTCAAAATTCGAAGTCCATGATCTGAACACATTTGTGATCTGAATGTATGAATATTTTGTGTTGGAAGAGGCTGTTACATACCATACAATGTCAGTGTAGTTCTACTGTGTTCCATTCCACTGCAAATTTATATCTCTGTGACTTGCTGATTTTCATATTCAAGTTTGTTTAAATATAACCTGCTCAATCCAGTATGTTATCATTTGGATAGGCATGTTGTTGGCTGTCCAAACCAAAACAATTAGGTTAAAAATTCAGTAACTGAAACCATTAATTTTTGTAAATAACCAAAGTTTTTGTTCAATAATATGAAGAAAATATATTTAAGTGGGATTGAAGTGTAAAATGTTTTAACATTATAACTTGTATAATGGGAAATATAAAATTACTTTTAACTGATATGTAATATTTTCTATATTTGGCAGGTTAATAGTACAGAGGATGTGGAAGGGAAACAGAAGTTATTAAAGGTGAGTTGTTATAAACAAATTAGATATAGTGTTATTGTTTGCTTAATGTATAAGTTTATTTTATCACAAGTGACTTCTCTTTTGTAGTGTGCTTTTTTTTGAAGCAGTGTTTTTGTGCACTTCAACATTTTAAAACTGTAATATAAAATGATGCAAAAGGTGGTTATTGTCAGAATTTATAGTTATAGTAGAGTCACCAATTGTCAAAATAAAAAAGGCTTTTAGTTATATTTCATAATAGTATAAATATATACTATGTTGTTGTTGGGCTTAGGATTATTCTAGAGTAGGTGTCTGTGATTTGTTAGCAATAAATTCAACGATAAGTGAACAGCATGCACTTCATTTGTTTTCAAAATAATATACATATTTGGAACAAGTTAAACGTATGTACAACAGTCTTCACACTACAGAGATTATAGGCATATCATAAACACTGTATATGTTGTTCTCTTCTTCTTGTCAAAAGTCTACTTAGGCCTATTCAATTACTTTAGAATTTCAGTTGACAAACTGAACTATCTTCTCTTTTACTATCAAACAAGTGTTTTGTGAATGATTCACTTACTATTGTGGCATGAGTTACCATAATTGTTTGGTCTTCTTTCTTTAAAATATCCTCTGTTCCTTTTGTCAAAGTGCACTCTGGCTGATTCAATTACTTTAGAACCACACTTTGACAGAATAAATTATTATTCTTATATCCTTCTCTACTGTTAGTCTTACTCCAACATATTAAATGTTAGGCCTATTTTAATTGTTAGGCCTGTCACTTCTACGGTAATTAATTTCATACCGATCTTTTCCTTGCCTGTAACTTTACTCTTTTATGCTATTGTCTGTCTGCTGTTTCTGCTCATCTCACACTATTTATATGTTTATCAGTTAATTGTCTGCCCATCTTCTAGAAATCTCTATGTTCTCAACATCATTGTATTGCACACAACATTTGATAGTCTCAACATCAGTGAATTATAAACTGCAATTGTATGCTTTTAACTCTTATTATAACAAAAACTAAACAACAATAAAATATTCACTCACAAAATAAATTAATCAATTTTATCTAAACTAAACAATCTTTGATATCATGACAGTTATGTTTCCTTAAAAAAATAGTATAAGTAATGCTGTTACAATATATTTTCTGAAAAATATTTTTCTTAGTTGTCATTTTATTCTGTAGCATGTATTATAATGCTTTGAAAGCAATAAAATAGTTAATGACAATATACTTAGTATTGTTATAGGAGTGAGAGGAATATATGTATTGTATAGTTGTTTAACTCTTACCATAACTTTTCTATCTGATAGTGTTTGTGTGTGTACATGTATTATAATTCTGATTCACCATTCTTACACCTTCATATGATGTACTGATGTCTTTTAGGGCTTGAAATTATTTAGTTAAGCCATATTGCAATTCATTAAAGTTATTCACTTGTGACTACAATGCAGCTTTTAGTTGTGTAGTTGGTATTCAGTCACTTCTGAGTTGTTTTTCCTAAGACTTGTAGTAGTTTTTGAACAGGTAGTTTGTACTGGTTATTGTATCTTATAATCTTTTTCTCTTTTTTTGTTTTACAGACTGACCACAAAGGTATGTACACCATAATTTTTAGCTATTATAATGTCTGATTGAAGTTTTTTAATTGTTCTAGAATGTTTTATAATAACTTTAATCTGAATGATTATAAAAATTTGGGTTATTATCTGGTCTTTCCTGTAGGACTACGAATTTGCAAAAAGGGACTAGGAGGACCTGCTATTTTTGCATAAAAGAAATCAAATTAAAGCAATAGTTCATTAGGTATTATAGCCTGCATGAAATGATGTGGAAGCAAGTTTTCTATTAACTTTCTATTGTAACTCTAGGAGCATTTTCTAATTGAGTGATAATTTCAATTTATATATCATTAATATCGTTCTTTTAAGAACAAAATTTAATGAATACAACAGCAGACTTGCATGATAAACCAATTACAAAAGAAATCAACAGTGATAATGCCAATGTTTTTTCTATTATAATTATCCAATTACAAACTTGTGGACTAAACTGTTCACCAATTATTAAACTGATTAACTGGCATTGATCTGTAATTGTTTGATTAGTATTTTGTTAAAATTTTTTTACTAATGCAAAGGAATATACACATTCAAAAATCATGTGAGGAAAGGAATATAAACCTACATTTGTTTAAGCACCTAACCAACTAATATTAAAAAAACAAATGTTATAAAATTTGTCTGAAGTAGAATCCTTATTTGAGGCTTGAATATAGAATGCACTATTATGGCTACATTTTAGTATTACTTCTGCTTTCATTTTTATTTCTGTTTGTGAAATTTTCTTATACTGTTTTTCCCAGATTACAGTTTACATTTTGTAGAAAACAGACTTAGCTTAATTTTTAGTATAGTCTTGTTTCAGCAAACAGTGTGTCTTATTTTATTTATCAGTGTGTGTAGACTTGCATACAGAATGTATTTTAACTAGTTTTGTGGAAACAACTGATTACTAGTAATTAAAACATTTTTAGCCTTTTGATGACTATGATTTTTTTATATCAAAGTTTTGTATAGGTTTATGATTTGGCTAGTATGTACAGTTTAGATTTGCAAAATCAGTTTATTTTCTTCAGAAAAAGAAAATGGTGAAACAGAAGATAAATTAGAAGAAGAAGAAGAAGAAGCTGATGAAGAAGATGAAGAATTTCCTCTAGGAGAGGGAGAAGACTTTGATGAAGATGGAGTTGATGAAGAGGATGATGAAGATGGAGATGATGATGCATAAATTAGTGTGGTTGTGTTGCCCATCAGTGTATGTAGGCAGGATGGGGGCGGGGGTAATTCAGTTAAGCTAGATTTTAAATAATTCATGTTATTATAAGGAATTACAAATAGACAGATCACCATACCTCACAGATAAAAAACATTCATTGTAATTTTTCTGAAGAACATAGTTCATCACAATGGTTATTATTTTGATTTATTAGTGAAGGTGTTACAATCTGTTTTCATCTGTCATCTTTCATCGACCACTGATTGAGTTACAGTTGGGATTTATCTACATATAACATACTGTTGAGAGTATGCAGTTGTTTTCAACTTAATGGTTTTGTGTTATCATTTGTATATATCATTCCATTGGAAAGTAAATTGGCTATTCTGTAAATTGTTAGCTGTTTTAATAAGAAAGTTTCTGTGTCCATTTCAGTATGAGGTATTTTTAATTAAATTGGTATTACAGTTCAAAAAAGTAATGATACAAATTGGCATCTCGACTGCTTCTATGTCTGTTGTATACCAACAAGTGTGCTGGGCCATGGTATTGATGAAAGGCCTCATTGACATATTGTTGCCGCCTTTACTTTCACTCAAAAGTTCTTATAATAGTTATATGTTTTGTAGTTATTACATTTTGTCAGTGTATGAAATTTCACTTTACTAATGTACACTTGTATTACTGTACATCAGTTTGAGATGTGGATGATATTGATGTACTTAGTCCTCACACTTGATTGTAAGAATACAACTGGATGTGTTTGAGAGAGTTATGAGACTTTTTGATGAGAAATTGAAGTAAGGTTGGTTGTGTGTCTGTTTTTATTGTTTATACAATACTTACAATGTTAAGCTGTTTACCATTTTTTATTGATTATATGAAGGGTAAATTTTATTTGAGCCTTTTCCAGTTTTGGACTAACTGAAAGCAATCTATATTGATATTTTTAATGTGAATTAACCATCCTTTGTTGAAGAGACAAGATTGTTTTGATTCTTTTTACCAAATGTTATAATGTTTCATTTTCTTATAAATTGACAGTTTTTATTGTTCTGTAGCCACTACAGGTTCATGTAGGGAAGGCCAAATAAATTGGATTAGTAAAATTTGTATTCATTCTTTTGTTCATTTATTGCTATTATTTTCCATACTTTTATTTTAATAGGAAGATGGATCATATTTTTTTCAAGCTGCTTAATACAGTCATTGACAGAAGTGACTGATTAAATGTAACTGAACAAGAAACAAACAGATCACTTAATTATTGACTATTTGTTGTAAATTTCATTTGTGGAAACAAATTATAACAGACATAATAAGAATTTTCTTTCAAGGATGAATTTTGCAGTGTGTTTGTTAATGGTGGAGTGATTTTCTGTATTGATCTTTTTATGTCCTAAAGTTTTGTTGCAGTGGCCATGTTTCCAACTCTGTGCTGTGTTTTTCTTTAGACCCGAAGAAGACTCACCACAGAGTTCAAAATGTTATCATCTCGTTTAAACTTTAGGAAGGAAAAGATCCATAAAGAAAACCACTATCAAAGTAATTATTCTTCCTGTTAAGGAAAATCGTTTTATAAAGAATTAGTAATAACATTTTGATGCAACTGGCATACATTGCAATTCCATATTCATAACAAATCTTGTATCACTACAGTATTTAACTCTATTGAATTTCTAAAACTTAATTACAGGTATTTAATGTTCTAGGAATATCCTAGATTCATTGTAATGTAACTGCTTTTGGGCAAATGTGTAAGGACTATATGGCTTGTTTTTTCCTGGGTGTTGGCATTTTTTTCATTGGAAGTTAGTGGTTGTGCTGTCTTTGTTAGTCATTGTAAAAGTAATGTAATGTGTTGAGTACAATTCTAGTGGCATTATTGATAGTTGTGTTACATTTCACTAGACATAAGCTCACAGCTTTATTAGACATTATATTATTTCTTCCTCAAATTGTTTCAGAAATTACATTGTCATATTTTTATACGTATTATCTGGTATATTTGATGCTAAATAATTACAAATCTTGACAGATATAAGAAGCTATTGAAACTTTACAAAATTCTGTGAAATTCATCTTAGTATGTATTTTATAAATTTATAAGGTAGTAAAAAACAGTTTGAAAACTAAGCTACTATATAGTCACATTGTTATTATTAAACTTCTTTCAATATAAAAGTACATGTAAGTATTTCCTGGCATAACCTCAAAATTAATACCAGTGCCAGTTTAGTAATTATAAAATACCCATTAAAAATATATCATCATAAATCTAGTAAAGGTAATAAATATAATGGGATATAGTTTTTCTCGCATCAGTATAAGTTATTAAATCTGGGGGAAAAGCTGAATTGCCCTGTAAATTTAGCATAAATACAGTGTAATTACAGAACTCTGTCAACAAGTGACTTCTTAGAGCAAGAAGTATATTCTTGTGCTGCTTCAAGGTTGTCAAAATTTTATCTCATGAAAACTGGTGTTTCAAATTTTGACGTTTGGGAATAAACTTGGAAAAGATATTGTAAGATACGTTATGAATACATACACGTGTAACTGATATTTAAATAACGTTGTAAAGCTTATTTTTATAGAATAATTATTTCACTAAAGTTATTTGAACAATGAAACACGGTGGAAGTCTGGTATTAAAATGAAGTTTTTCATAATTTTGATATTTCTCTTGCCATAAATTGGGGAACTACTACATAGAATTTGACCCTCCGGGATTTGGATTTTAATTTCCTGAAACTTCAGGATTGCATATTTAATGCACTGATGATAGCACTAAAAGCTTTGCATTAATATCTAAATCCTAATCAAGTTAAACAGCCTTCGTTGTGACGTTTTAAATTCCAAAAATATGTCTTAAAAAGAGGAATGCACCCAGTGGCATAGCGATAATTCTGCAGACTTATAACGCTTAAAACCGGGTTTAGAAACCCGTGGTGGACATAGCACAGATAGCCCATTGTATAGCTACAAAGAAACTTAAAAGATGAATCATTCCATAGACGATAAAGACAATATGAAAATGGTAAATGACACAGAGATGAAGAAGCAGAACACGTGACATTTACCTGTGTCGTACTACATGTGGATTAATTAAAGTTTTGTCTCACTTGCATCATAGGTGCACACATACACACACACAAAAACTTTTGCCTAGTTTTCAGAACTAAAAAACCATACAATGTTTCATCATTCATAGACTTGTAAATTAAACAAATCCACAAAGATAACTACGATCATGAATAGCTACGATACATTCACACCTGGATGAAAAGTGGATAAATGTAAGGCACTTGCATGTGTTCAATAAATGTGTTTTTATAAAATAATGAGTGCGCTCGCATAAAGCATTGTGTGATGAATAAAGAAACTCCGCTGTAGTTGCTTTGAATTTTGTGATTGATATTGCTTAAAAAGTTATTTTAATATGTAAACAGTCACTCAATTCGCAGTGACCTGATAAACCGCTATGTTAGTTGACCTTGGTTATAACATCACTACATGTATACATTTACTGAAACATCCAATTCTAAAGTTAACCAAACATTAATCTGTAAAATTGAATTAAATACACAAATAAAGGTATACATGTTAAGCCTAGAAATGCCAATGAAGTCAATATTTTAAGATCCCTATTCGCTTTTCCAACATTTTTGTAAACTATCTATGCACCTTATTACTAATGGGCCTATGACTGTTTGTTATATCGTTTCTAATAACATACGAGCCACAAAAGAAAATGTAAACGAAAATACTGTCAATATTGTAATTGGACCTTCTAATTCCTTCTGGAGACTCGTGTATTTTACGCTGAAAGTGAGTGATTTCACAACGAGTTTGACAGGTAAAAAGTTATTTACTATGATACAGTATGTTGACGCCACTTGGTAGTGAATGGAATAAAAACAAGTTGATAATATAAGGATTAATGAAGGTAGAAGTTGGTTATGGGTCTGATTTAAATCCCATAAATGCATGCTGTAATACATGGTATAATTATCTGACAATTTTCAAGAAAATAAGTTTTCAAAATCATGAGAAGATGGAGAATTATTAGAATCAACATCAAGTGATTGGAAGTTCGCTACCTTGATTTATAATTTATTAATATTTCAGTTTTGTGTTGTCATTCAGTCACACCGATTTTTTTATTGGTATAACAAAAAATTGCATCAGTGTATATGTTTTCGGAAGCAATTTTCAACAGAAGGGATGGAAAAATTTCATATATTTTATGTTATACCTTCTTAAAATATGTTTTAAGTATTGTTATATGTGTATTATAATTATGCGGTTGTAATCAATTTAAAGTTGGTAATACGCTTTACCTAGAAATAGATACTTTCGTCAATTCTTGCTCTAAATGTATGCTTTTAACCTTGAATTCTACCCTTTTGCACAGGAACGTGCAAGTTGGAAAGTAAAAATAGAAATGATCCTAGAAGTATTGGAATGTGTACCTCCTATGCCTTTCATTTGTACGTTTCAATAAAACTGCTAAGTAATGTTAAACGTGTATTTTACTTATATTAACAACTACTGGGTAATAACCCGAACCTTTTAGTTAAATTACGCATTAAATTGTAATTTACCAGTTAAGTTCGTTTTCACTCCTAATAGTATGTTGGCGTGTGATCGGTGCTCAATTTTATTTGTTTATTTTTTTTCAGTTCCAGTTTAAGTAACTGGTTCTTCCAGCTGCTCGGACATATAAATACTGTGTTGTCGTTTTTTCTATGACAGAATAGTGAATTCCATCACAAGTAAGATCACTAGTCAAAAGTTCCAAACTTTTATTTCGGCTCGTATGCAATACATTACAATAGATATAGAAAATGTTAATAAAATTACTGCACTGAATTTATTTAGGTTAGTAACAGCCAATTTTGAGTAAAGAAGCTCCCAAACTTAAAAAAAAAAGAGGTTATTACTTGTAGTGACAGTGATATGAGAATTCGAAGAATTTCAGCTATACTGATGCCGAAACTGTCATTAATGCTCTGAACAAATATATGACCATTGGACCTTCTGAAGCGGATTATTGACTACACTATCGAACATATATAACTATTCAGCACATATCAACGTTGAAATGTGTTGTAAAACAAAACTACATATCTGGAATTATATTGCTCAACTAAAAATATCAGTGAATGCTCAATGGTGCTGGAATTTACGAACCCAATTTACACTCCACACGAGTTAAACATGTTACTTTCTCCGCCATTCTTCAGAAATACACAATAAGCAATAGGATACGTTGCTCCACACGAAAGTTTTTTTCTGCCATTTTTTATCATTACAGAGTTTTGGTGATTTAAGGCCATATGAAAGATGAAGCTTTGAATTTGCAGCTGTGATAAGTAGATTTGGGGCTCTAGCCATACAAGTGAAGGGAAACATGAATGCCCTGATATATTGTAACATTCTGTACAATTATTTACTGCCTGCACTGATAATATTTTATTGGAAATGAACATGCTGAAAAAAGCATGACAATTCACTGTGTCCAGGAGTACTTTAAGACAAGTAATATGTAGAATATACCTTGACCTGCCTCACCTCGTAAGGCTACAAAGCAATTGTTTTTCATATAATATATTTTAAAGCGTAAATTTAATGGCAAAAATTGAAATGTCATTCAATTACATCCCCAATCAAAGAAAAACAAATATTGTATCTTAACCACATACTTTACAAACACGTCAAGATCCATTATATTTGTGAGAACATTGAAACACAACATCTGAAGGGTAATATCGACTTTATAAACTCGTTATTTGGTTTCAATATTTGAGGCAAACGTTTTTAATAGATCAATATGAATCTGACAAGATCTATGAATAAATAAAATTTGGGTGTAATATAGTCTGAATAATAATTTTTATGGTTTATTGACACAAATATCTTAATTTTTTATTGTAAAATTTATGTCAAGTAAAACGATAAAAAATGCCCTCACCTTTTAACAGAAATATTACACCTGGTCTTTACTTAGTTTAAGTGTTTAGCAGTTTTACGTGAGAAATGGATTCACACATGCTTGACGATTTGCAAAGAGCGGGAAAAACAGTCTATGTGTGTTATACTGGTTGCACATACAGATACAGGTAGAAATTGTTTTCCGGATTAAGTTTTAAACTTGAATATGTGTCATGAGGATCGTTATTTTGTATTATTTATTTATGGGGTGGCATATCAAAATATGAGGCTTACAATGATGAATTAAAAAGAAATACATAAGTTTCATTTCCTTCCATTACAGAACTGAAAACGAGATCCACTTTTAAGTGAGAAGACCTGCGCTAAAAGGTGACGAGACAAAAAGAAAGTCATATGGATTTCAAACTTAATATTTAAGGAAGTAGCGACGTACAACGACGGTTTGCTTCCAGGCTCTATTATAATCTCTATTAAGTAACTGATGATAAAATATTTTCCTTTTAAACACATGAGATTTTTCATGAAGTAAAATAATAAATTAAGATACTTAGAAAGGCGTAAGAACTGATACTGTAAGATTATTGAATTGTAAAACTTATTATTGCACATTTATTTTGGTTACGTTTATTGTCTTACGACATTTTTTAATCAGAAATTTGTATTATCATAAGTAGTATTTATTTTAAAGTGGATATTATACAGTTTGTATTTAATCATTGCATAATATGCAAAATATATTTATTTAACCCGGTTGTATTACTCACTTTGAACATTTATGATGAAATAGTACTCTAAAAACTGATTCATACTGGTAGTTAATTAATGAAGCGTTTTTTAAACTTCCTTTGGCTGCAGGTTATTGTCTTCTATCAGGGTTGCTACAAATCATTGTCCTAAAGAAAAAACAAACACATACACGCATGTATACATTTATACGTAGTATTTCGTCAACAAAAGAATTAAATGATCTCAACAACGAAACCTTTCACAGCATGATTCAACCAAAGAAGAAAATGTCCTAATATGACATGTCACTGCACGTACATGTCAGAAAGAACACTATTCCAACTAATATACACAGGTTAGAGAAAGTTACTATACATTTTGATGGAAGAACATATCCAATACAGAAAGACCAAGTAAGAAAAATATACAAGGTAATACACAGTAATCCAGTTATGAATGATACTCCTAAAAACCGATTTATACTAGACGGCAAATGTTAAAGTTAGAATAATGACATTAATGATTTTAGGTGCTTAGACTAGTCACAAATTGGAATTTTCAACCAGAATATCACCCTATGCTCGCGCGGACTGAACAGCCAGATCAGAGACACCTAAAGTTAATGCTTAGCTGGTCCTTATTTTACCCATTCAACAGAGGGAAAACGGTATGCCAGTAACACCCGTCGCCACAAGTGCTGTTTCCAGCTGTATGATTAACTGTTACTCTTATAACGCGCCAACAGCTTAAAATGTTCAGTGGAATCAAGGATTAGATACGCAGAGCGATACACTAACCATTAGACTTCACCCACCTTTGTTCACTAGTAAGAATTGGGTCGAACTGGGTATTTAAGTCCCTCCTCCCAGGAAGGTGTATATAATGGCCACCACAGTGTGGAAAGGTTATCAGAAATGAAAGGGCCAAGGTGTTAAAGCATTGAAGGGAAGACAGTCCTGGACAGCTGGGCGATCTGAGGGGAGTGCTGTTATCCTCAGCAGCTGGCGATTTTAACAATAGTTGTGTGATAAGATGATCATGTACTACATGATGATGATGTCATGTTAGGAAATAAAAACATACTAAAATTAGTGCTGAATCTGAATTAAAATGAGCTTCAAACAGTAAGATGCATTAAATACTTTAAAATAAGCACTGACTTTTTACATTCAGACTTTGAAAAATGTAGACATATGTTACATAAGCTATAAGACATTCATCATTGCTTCCAATGGCACAGCGGTATGTCTGCGGACTTACAATGCTAAAAAGCTTGTTTCGATACTCATGGTGGGCAGAGCACAGATAGCCCGTGGTGTAGCTTTGTGCTTAACTTCAAACAAACAAACAATTGATAAAAGTAACTGGAAGACAATTATGAGGAAGTAACTTGCAGGTATCGTGGGATATACAAATATAAAGTACTGATACTTATGTGACTCATGACAAAAAACATCGCGTCACACCTTTACAAATTACATCCAGCTGTTAAGTTCACCCAGTTATGATTAATGTCATTAAAGTATGGCAGACATGTATCGTCGCAATAGTTTGTTTGTTTGTTATGAATTTTGCGAAAAGCTACACGAAGGCTATCTGCGCTAGCCGTCCCTAATTTAGCAGTGTAAGACTAGAGGGAAGGCAGCTAGTCATCGCCACCAACTCTTGGACTACTCTTTTACCAACGAATAGTGGGATTGACCGCACTTTATAACGCCCCCATGGCTGAAAGGGCGAGCATGTTTGGTGGGACATGTCGCAATGGATTCACCTGACATAGAGGGGGAGGAAATTATGAAACTTTAGAGAACTTTAATATTTTATTTTAACTGTTTTCGTTCTAGCTTACAGGGAATGCTTAAAGGTTGTTGTTTTTTTCACATCTCTTTTACCAGTTCAACACATTCATCGGAAACAGTTATCCTTGTTTTATTTTAGTGTGTATAATTGTCTCTGTCTTTTTTTATATATATGTACATTTTGTCGTTTAGACATTTTGTTGGTTATTTCTTTCCTTGTCGATAAACTCAGTCAGAGTTAAAAGAGACACGACCTATTTATGACAGGAAAATCTCCAAAAACCTACGTAACTGGCTGCTTTGAGGGAAGTTCATGAGCCGCAAAATACCACTGTCTATGACAATAAAAGATATTATTTAACGCTATCTTTGTCTAAATATAAATTAGGATTAGTCTGCAAGAACTCATTTTTGATACAACCCAAAACCTGGTTTTCCTGAAAAACTGTATGGAATTCATTTTACCAAATTAGTGCCGTACAAGCTTTCTCATAAATACTTAATACGTACAGGATATGAGTTATCATTACAGTTTCAGCTGTTTATCTTCTAGGCAACTATATACAGCTTTCAAAATACCTAATTTTTAGCTATACATAATACTGTTAAAGCTGGGAATATTTCTTGAGTATATATTGTTGTTGTTGTATTTTATTAAGCTGGCACGTGAAATGGTTGATATTTCTAGTACATCGTTTTTAAAATATACTCAGACTAATAATTTTGTATGATTGGTTTTACTTACTTTTGATCTAGAATGTAAATTGCATGCAGTTTTTAAATACATTGAAAGTGAACTACGATGCACTGCTTGTTTTGGGATTTCCTAATAAGTAAAGAGAGCCTTAGAATTTTATATCCATAATTGATGATACCACAATCATTACAAAATTTGCTGTGGATAGATCACCTTCAACAGATACAGAATAGTTTACTTTATAAACCGTCTTCCTAGCTGGTACATCTTCCAACAAAGACGTTTTCTGTCGTGTATTTAAATATAAAAATATTTTTAAAAAAACGAGTAGAGAGATGAAAAAGTTAAAAATAAAACAACTTACGTTCTATGCAAGAGGACGTCTTATTTGACTTTATATTGACATACCTTGCCAGTAAACCTAACTTTAGTTCCACGTGTCACAGATGAACTTTTCGAACTAAGGCTTGACTTTTCTGGTTGCCGTTTACCTGTCGTTTCTTGTAATTGACTAGAACTGTCCAAGGATATATCCCATTCCGAGTCGTTTTCACTTTCGACGCTCTGTAAAGGTGCTTCCTGGTGACGAAGTTCTTGGTGCCACATCTGCATCATTTCCAAAACGTTGGATGGTTGTGGAAAGTTGGAATTCGACGAGGTATTTGATGTTCCCTGAATAAATATTTCATTTCAGGAAATTATCGAAATTTCAGATGTTACTATGTTCCTAACAATCGGACTCATTCTCTTAAAACGACATAATCATCTGTGGATGGTAAATATATAATACAATACAAGTGAAAAAAAAATTAAAGTCAATACACTATATACATCTATAACTACAATAAACCACACTATTTTATGACACCGAGAAACAGCGTTGTAATGAAATGAAAATCACAGTCAACATGCTGAAAGTAATGACGTGTCAAACCACGTAGGTCATATGGAAAACGAATGTTTTACTGTGTTAGTTCACAACATTGTTTCAGAATGCAAATCAAACGTAATATTAGACATTCTCTACCACAAAGACAAAATTTTGTCTGCACTGTCCAAAAAAGAAAATATACCAATCTATCCTTTAGTGAGAACGTAGAAAAGTATATTTAATTTGCTATACTCATTATTAGGATTGATTTTTAGTTTCGTTACAAGTAGGTAACTTGCTCTGATTGGAAATTAATATTAAATACATTGGAAAATTCAATTAAACAAGCTAATATTGTAGTGCTACTAACAATGTCATTAAATCATATGCAATACTGATATGGCATGCTTAAAGTGAGTGAATCAATGAACTGTTGGAGTAATATGGTAAACAGACGTTAGTAAACGATTGAACATGGTGTGTTATTATTAGTCACAAGAAAGTTCTGACTAACTGCACCTGGATCGATTCCAAGATTGCATCTCTATATTGTACAACATTCTTAATGCGAAGCCGCAGTACATAGAGTCAGTTTGACCACCACTACTAATCCCTACCCAAATCATTCTGCCACCACCGTCTATGCATATGTTTCCTCCGGGCAATTTGGGTTGGATCTGGTCCAGGCACTTTTCAAATGTCTACTTGTTTGGCATCTGCAGTGTGAAGAGTGTCTCAGGTGCGAGCAAGGTATTCACGCACACGCTATATGCTCAATCAACATGTTCTTGATACTATACTAAAAACGATAGAGATGAATCAGAAAAACCACGCCAACTTGTCGTATGACATAAAGACCAACCATTATGAAATTTCTTTCTGATAGTTTCTATACTGATTTGTTGTCCAATTTCTGTCGTAAACTGTTAATTCAGATGAGAAGCTGAAGCCTGCATGTTGTTTCAAGCCTATATCAAACAGCGGTTGTCTTGTGGGATTGTCAATAGTATAAAATGTTCAAATCTCCTTCCAACTGTAATAATAGCCTTAAAGAGAGTCCACATCATGTTAACCACACTGTATGTCTTGTAGTTATTCTATAACAACTTGTTGTGTTTGATTAGCTTCTAACTAACTTACTGCTCTCAATATCACGTCTATGTTGGTGTCGTAGCAGGTTTCACTATCAGTCTAGATCTATTTACACTCTCTACTGTTAGTACGTACTTTTTCTGTAGGGTTTACAGGGACTTTTTCAACTGTATGCAGAGCACTTGCATGAAAATTTAGAAGAACAAAAGTTACTCGAATATATTTGAATAAAGATATATCTTTGCTGGTTATGAAAGGATGGAATTTGATGATATTCCAACTCGTCATATTAACCCGTCTGGAGCCATAGGATTACCAAGGTCATTTCCAAGTTCCTAATCCATAAAAAAATGAAGAAAAAAGAACAATTTATGATAATAGTACTTGTAAAGCTTATCATGCCCATTTGGGGACTAAGGTTTATTCGGAATATCATGCAAAACTACACGTCCCTAACTTAGTAGTGAAAGACTAGAAGGAAGACAACTAGTCATCACCACCCACCGCCAACTATTGGGCTACTCTTGTACCAACGAACAGTGGGATTGACCGTCACATTATAATGCCACTACGGCTGAAAAGGCAATCATGTTTAGTGTGACAGGGATTCGAACACGCGACCCGCAGATTGCGATTCGAGCGCCCTAACCAGGCCTTTGGGGATTAAATAAATGTATAAAAGGATAAATGTCAAACTATTTAACTTGTACTTGGAAAATGTTATGGGCTTGTATGTCTCTTAACTATAAATAGTGAAGGCAAAATTGAAAGTTGTGTTATAAATCAGTGTAAATAATTACAACAGTTTATTGCTGAAATGTTGATGTCACGGGGTCCACTTTCACAACCATAACTGGAAATAAATAGCTCACGGTAGTGGTGAATTACTTTCCCAGTAACGAAATATTGTACCAAACCAAAAAACTGACGAATAAATTTCTAGCCAGATAAGTAATACCTGATGACAGAACTTTGAATCAGCACTCTTTGCCAAAATGAGTACTAATATTTTACAGATAGAATCTTAAAATGACGTAACCATATAGAGTTGAACCGATATGGAACACATATTCATGAGCTACGGGGCTGAACACGTGAGGCTCTGGTTACATTCCATCGTCTCTTATGTTTGATCGTAAACTTACAAGTACTATTACACCTACTTTGTGGTCATACAACAGAGGATAAATTAAAATAAATGGATACAAATTAAACCATTTATTTTAGTGATACTTTAACATTGTACATTTGTACACGTGCCAGAAACTGAAGTCAGCTATGACATTATATAAATACGATATTATATCTAACCTAACAAGCCTGGGTTTCAGTGTGGTTATATAGTATAGCTATATAATCTTTACGGACAGAAAGGCATGTCTCCAATGTTTATTTAACACTAAGAAATTCTATATGCAAGTAATAAAGAAGATCAATGATATGATGGTCTATGTTTAAAACGATACAAAAAAAAAGGTTTGTCATTATGGAAACACCAAGATTAGAAAATATACAGAAGAAATTACATATCCAAATGAAGATTCTTCACACATGGAAGAAGAAGAAAATCAAAGTTGTAAGAACATAAAACAGGTATAAGAATAAGAATGAAAAAGACGATTTGTAGACAATCAGTGACAGTCCTAGTGATAATGATAAGTCACTATGAAATTCTCTTCTATTCAATTGTTATGGACCACAGGAAAAAGTAAGACCCACAAATAAACTTGGTTTTTGGACGAGATAAGATTTATAAAATGCAATATATGTAAGTGTTTATTGGCGTTCATAACCGTAGTGATGTGGAGCTTGTTCTACAGAATGACCACCTTGTTATACAAATAGTATTACATCACTGCTTGTGCTACACCATGATTACAATGCTGTAGTACTGAGGTTATAGTACACCATGACCACATTAACACGGTGCTTGACGTTTAGTGTTGTGGTATGTGAATATACCATGTATTTCTATCTTCTTACAATATTATGCTATTTTTTCTGAATTATTCTTTGTTCTGTAGGTGTTACAATAACAAGTGGTCATGAAAGCCATGAAGTTGATTTCATTCTAAGCTTCCTTTGTTGTTCTTGAAGTGAATAATACCTGCTACCACCTAGGAAGGATATTGCTGTGTGAGAAGTCGACAGGAGTGCTATTCAACAATTGTTTAGGTTATATCTAGAGTTTACGGCCCCACCCATGCTAGAATGAGAATGACCAGTCATGTGGTTAACACTAGTCGCCCTGAGCAAACGCGAGATTTCTAGTTTCCTAAGGAATATTGGATTTGTTCAGTCCAGTACATGGATTCATCTTGAACAGTTGAATATAGAGGATCCAGTAAAGGTGGTTGTTCCGTGTAAATAACAGCATGAATATACACTGTATTTGCATTTTACTGTTTTAATAACGATTGTTCATTCTATGTTACAGTTTGTGTCCAGTCTTGTTATTTCATTTTTACGCTAAATCTGTTAGTAAGAGATTCAGTCTTAGTTAAATAAGACCCGCACAATTCGTTCCGGTACCGTGATGGTTGTGAAAAATGAATAAACGGGCCTTAGTACTCAGATTGGTAATAGCAATCCAAGGATAGTGGTTCTGGTGGTGGTCTTTACACTAAAGACAGTTCTCATCTTATGCTTTAAACGAGTCAGTGATTAAAAGTGTTTACATACAATTTTTTTTTAAATTCGTGAACACATAGTTTGTAACAATATGTTCACTAGCTACATTAAAAACAAAACGTTTATTGTAATTAACAATGGACTTCAGGATTTACACTGTGGCACTAAACATGTTGTATACTTAGTTAGCTGTAGTGTTCAATACGTAAGCGAGACTTAGCAGTTTTTGAGAGTCAAAATGAATGACCACAGATGCGTTGCGAAAAAGAGGTACTCGAGTTTCCTGAACTATCAACACTTTAACTATCCATGGACATACTTTAGAAGATTTTCGTGTAAAGGCCATGGAGTGTATACAGTGCAACTTGTTGAAAGAGAGTTAGTTATAGTTTAACCCTATGGGCTTAACGATCGAGTTACAAATTAAGGTAATTATTATTAAGGCTGCCAATTTTTAAATACTCAATATTTTACACAGTTCCTCTCACGTTAGCCATGTAGTCATGGGTACAAACACGGAACAAACAGGGCTAAAACACAGGATATTTTATTAAGAGACCTACTAGAGGTTTATCAAACAAAAGGTATCCGAGGTTTGTACGAATTAAGCCATTCATTATCATCGTTAATTCCATTTAATATAAAGAGAAAATTAAGGCTTTGAAGTTATAACAATATAAACATTTGATTTCCGTACTCTTTAAACTAGACCTCCTATTGATAAAATTAAAAAGAGTTTTCAATCAACAATTTCAATGTCTTTTAATAATTCGGTTAAATTGTTTCTCTATATCAATAAACACAGAACTTTCTATGACAATGTCACTCTCAAAAATGACCACTGTTACACATACAGTGATTCTTAAAGGCCATGAATATTTTACATTTGTGTAATTTGACCAGCATGTCTTCTAACAAATACACGGAATTCCAATGGGAGGTAACGTTAGCCCGCAAGTTGCAGATCTGTATTTATTTTTCAATTCTGTGGAAAATTCAACAATATTCTTGCTAATGACTAAGGTGTTAGAAGTTTTTAGAGCATAGAAACCTCTTAAAAGCATTCACGTCTACACTTTGATTCCTTGGATGTTGTTTGGAGTAAAACTTAACAGTTTTAGTGTATTGACCACCATTGGTTTAACCAACTGTTAGTTTTAATTATTCTATATAGTTAACATTAGCCAAGTTTGACATTATATTATTAGTTTAGTTAGATTAGTTTTTATTTTCTCTGTCATATTACGCCTCGTGTATTTGTACATAAAATGTATCATTTTTATAGAACGTTCATATTTCTTAAAGCTTATCTTGTTTTCTTTTCGGCTTTTAGATAAGATTGGATGTTATTTATGTGTTTGGTACAAGGAATAGCTAAGCAATTCTAATAGCCTATGGGTGATGGCAAAGAAGAATATGTTAAAGCTGGTGAAAAGGTTTTTAGGCAACTACTTATTAAATTAATGTAGTTCTTTTATTTTTACTACATTTAACATTGTTATATTATAATAGGCAGGTCAAGTGTTATTGTTTTACATCTTCATAAACATTGTTTTTTGTATGTGCCATGGGAAAGTTGATGCATCTAACCCGATAACTTTTAAGTAAAACATATGGCATTAATTGTCACAGTTAGGATGTTATATAGTAGAGGTGCCGTACAGAGTTTCTTTAGTAAAGTATAGTGTTATAAAAATAGCAAGTTTCCAAAGAAATGTACATCAACGACAGGAACTAGTGTTTGTGGATTCTCTAAGTAAGATATGCCATTTTTACATTTATTGTTCCTTTCAGTAATTATATTGATTACAATTGTTATTATCTCGAACCTGATTATTTATTCTATTTTGTCGTTTATTGTTATAATTTTATCATAAAAACCGTTTTGCATTGTTAGCTTATAATATGTATTTGCGACTAAACTAAATCCTCCAAGCTAGCCAAATCTCGTGAGATATCTTGGGTTTACGTCCGAAAATATCGTTAATAGTGAAGGTACCTAAATGATGAAACAATGCATTCTAACCTTCATAAGCAAATACGCAAGAAAAGTATATCTAATTAGCTGTACTGATGACCAGATGGATTTTTAGTTTTGCTCTAAGTACACAGCTTATTCTGATCGAAAGTTATTATTATTTACTAGCAGACATATCCGATATTACTCTAAAGTTAATTCACTTTCACATGGATATACCGCAGTATTTCATCATGACAATATCTATTATACGACATGACTTGGCAGCTTAGTTTGAACACGATGTTCTAATTAGCTCTTTAACTTTATCACATACTTATTATTTTTCCCATATAAGTAATAATTAAGTTGTATTTTGAAAGAAAAAAAACTAATGTGCATGAGATTATATATATGTCAACTTACTTTAGTCCATGGGTTGTGAAGTACTTCACTTGCTGTGAGTCGATGTGCTGGATCTACTCTAAGCATTCCTTGGATCAGAAATTTGGCTGAAAATTAAAATGCTACTTCAGTCTGACTTTAACAAAAAAAAAATTCTTAATTTGTTTTGCCTAGAAAAGAGTATAGAAAAAGATGTCAGCGCCTGCAGATTGATGGTATTCAACATCGTGAATATACATAAAGTAAGTGAAACTTTTACTTTTTTTTTGTATGCCACATTTTACCATGATAATTTAAGTTTCAAATATTTTGAACTTTAAATGTAATAAGGATATTAGTTTATTATTCTTTATAATTATGTGGCATTCTTTTAATTTGTAATTGAATAGCCAAGATTTTCCCGAAATGAAAGAATAGCATTATGACTAGGACAGAATGCTAATATTAAATTCCCAGATAAAACAAAAGATAAGATAGAAAGAATAAGGTTATTGAATAACTAAAGAGAGAGTCTGAAGGTGACAATGCAATATTTTGTCGAAACATGTATTATGTTCCCCAAAATAAAACCGCTTCATTATGCTTGTACGTCGTTGTTTGTTAATTTACCACTAGGTTCCCAATTGTTGAAATAACATGCTAGCTAAGGCTGACAGGGTAACACATGAATTTGAGAATTGAAGGTGTGAACAACAAGGCTGCCACATTACAGATAATAAAGTCTGTCAGACCGACTAGAAAGTAATTTGCAGGACCTGCTACCAATTTTATTGGAAATCTATCAGCCAGATTCCACGAATTTCAGCTACTCAAGTAACCACAATTGAGAAATTGGAGCAACAGCAGCTACACTGGCTACCCTAGCCACTATATCTAAGCTTTCTGAAATTAAATGCACCTCTTAGGCATATTCAACTTTTTATTGCAGTCACCTACTAGGCTACAGTTTTTACAATACCACTTCCATCTTCCCGACTACTAAAGGACTACAAATACAAAGTATTGTTGGAAGCATATTAGCCCAAATTTCGCAAGTTGCAGCAATGGACATTGAACTATTTATCATTGTGCGCACCTAAAACTATCAGCCTTCAAAACGTTGACCAACCTACCACTGTATCTAGTTTCTTAGTCGTTTGAAATCAGTCATTCAAAAGAAATGTCACAAATCCAGTTCAGAAGTAAGATGAATAGGAGAGAAGGGATACTCACAGAACTTGTTGAAATTATGTAACCCCTTGCTCAATTGCCTGATCCAGAAATGTCACAAGAAAACATGAGTTCATTGGCACATGACCAGTTTGTCGATGTAATTCGAGATGAAGGCACGAGAATCAGATTGTAGCAAAGACTGGGGGTTGGTGTTCAACTTATTAAATAGCTGCAATTCATTAAAGTTGCCGACAAACAACTCAAAACACCTATACATAAAGCAGAACTATGATGTTGACTCACTTCCGAGCCCAGAAGAATGAATAAATAGTCTAGAAAGATTAATCCAGCATATAATAAGTGTTGAACAAAATGTCACTCAAAGCCTGAATACTAATATAAATATTAGATTAGAGGATTTTGATAACACGCTGTAAAAGCTTATTTTGTTTTTGTTTTTCGCTTCTGAACTCTCTCACAGATATTGCTAGAGAATTCCTTAAACTTGTATTAATATATATTCTGCTAACATCAGTCATAAACGGTTTTGAAATATGTGGAGACTATGTCCTTTCTTTTCTTTTTCCTTACGGGATGGTCAAGTGACATAGGTAACAAAGGCTCTTTTGGGAGAATTGATCTTATTGTGAGAAGCATATAGTTAGTATTAATAACAACGTTTTAGTGAAAGTAAAGAAGAGTGTATAGTAATATGACAACTACACTATACCTGCTGTATACAGTACTAACGATGCCCAATACTAAATGCTGATTTAGCGTAAGTCATCCATTGTAAAATATTTGGATTTTAAAGTTGAACTTACTTTTAATTCTTTCCATATGGTGGATTACACTGATTCTGTACCATCAAGTAATCATAAGAATATCCGTACTATAATTTTTAATATGGTAAATATGTCTTCACCAAATATGGCAAGCTTTTAATAAAGATTACAAATCTTTCGTACACAAAAAATCAGATTTTTAATTAAGTATTTTTAAATATTTGTCTGTGAATATATGGAGTCAGAGTTCTGACTGCTCCGAGTGCAAAGTGATTTTCATGTTAAGATTAAAAATACTTTTCTTCACCTGAAAATTTTCTAATTTCATTTCTAAAACCTCATAAATGAATATCATTTTTTCTCAGTTAACTTTATGTTTTATCTGTAATTTTTCTCTACCCTAACACAATATGAACAGAAAAATATAATTGTTTATCATAAATAGCTTTAGGCTCGTAACAGCTTACAACTGTTTATATTGATTTTATTATTCTATTGCCCTTTGAACCGTACCTAACTAAGAATCCTGCCATACAAGTTATACATCACTCGGCAAACGAGTAGCTTAAGTCACCTTATTGAATGACGAAATGCACGAGCATACCTCGTGAAGAATTATTAATATTATTTGATTATCTTACCTAATCTAACCTTGTATAATCTAATAAGTTTCTAATTTTTACATTTTAGTAACTTTTCTAACAATAAGTAAGAAATATAAATGAAAAACAAGAAATATAATATTTACATTCGACGTATTTTATTGTCGGTTGCCGATGAAACTTAAGTCTACTTTTTTGTAAAGATGGTTTGTTTGTTTGTATTTAAACACAAAGCTACATAATGGGCTATCTGTGCTGTGTTCACTACGGGTATCTAAACCCAGTTTCTAGTGTTATAAATCCACAGACTTGCCGCTGTGCCACTGGGATGCTTGTAATGATGGTACTAGTACATTAAATAATTTTTATTCATTTAAAGAATGCATCTAAGAACACAGAATAATAACCCGCGCAAAGCAAACAATGACCTAGAACTATTAAGAATTTAAAACACTTTCTGACTAAGGCAAAGAAACTTAAGATAATTCCTTTGGCTTTACAATCTGAATATCGCGGAGAAACTCTCAAATTGAGGTCGAAATAGACAACACTCTGTACTGAAAACAATGTAACATTATACGTCATTTGATAGAATAAAACTTTGTATTTCTATTGGTTATGAATGATATGATAGAGAAATACTGGTAACTTGTGAAAGAGAAAATGTGACAAGCGGTGATGTGCAGCAAAGTTGTAGTCATGCATCATTATCATTCAATAGAAAATCATAACTTCCATATTTTTGAAGTTCATTGACTATTTTAGTGACGCATGATCTACTTGAATGGTGTACTCCCTACCATAAAAGTAGTGGTAGTAATGCTTGACAAGTACTACAACTATAAGCATTTCTTCCTTTGATATACACTATCAATGCCCAGGAGTAGTTAACGCATTATTTGAACACGAGATTATTGTCTTCATACCTTTTAGTACTTGTGACATAATTGCACCAATTTCACTATCACTGGCATCTATAACCAGCGTGAATGGACAATCCTGACAAGAATAAATAAGCAAACACTAGGGCTTAAACGAAGGCGCACTTCAAGGAATGGAACAAATCTTCACACTCCAATGTCCACATAAAGCATGTCTTAACCTTAGTTCAGACAGAGGTGTGACTGTCTTGGAGAGATGAACCGCAAACTATCAATAATAGAACTTCAACTCTAGAAAGGTGTGGCTTTCTCATTATTAAAAGGTAGGGGCCAGTTCTGAACAACTCTGCTTTTCGCAAGACGAAAGAAAACTTCATCTCTATTAAATATGTGATTGAAAAACTCTGCTTCCATGCATATAAGCATGCAGTTTCAGATTTTGATTTCAAGCTTATCTCCTTGAAGCTCTGTAATACCATTCTCATGTTTCCAGCTGTGGCTTGAAATGTGCAACTAAATACAAGTATGTCATCTACATAGATGAACCATTTCTCCCAGTGCATTCCTTTCATTGTAAGCACCATTATCCTCTTGAAAGTTTCAGTTGCCTTAAACAGATAAATGACATGAAACAGAATTCATAGTCCTTCCTGACTGTGGAAAGCAGTGTTGAGTCTATATTCACCATCCAGTTTGATTTGCCAGTAACCAGAAACCAGATATAATTAAGTAGTTAAGTATAATTAATTGTTAAACCAATAGGTACCTTCTAATGTATACAGACATTCATCTGTGCATGGTCAAGAAAATGTTTGACACACTTTACCACATTCACTTGCACCTCAGAACACAAACTTAGCTTATAATTACAATTCTTAACTTGTAGGGTAAAGATTATGCATTTCATCATTGTGCCACTGCCCTTTTTAATGGGGACATTCCAGTTCTAAATGACTTCAAAGACAACAACCAAGCAAGGGGTTGCTTAAAAGGCATCTCAGGAGAGAACCAAGTGTGAACAGATGCTATACAACTATCAGTGAATTTTTGGCGACCAGCAAACCTCATGTGCTCCCATGTGCTAAACAGAAGATGTAGAGATTAAGCAGAGGGTGAAGCAGAAAAAGGCTATCAGCCCCTATATGAAAACCATGGTGGACAGTCACCAGTCCTTATAGCCACAGATGGTTCCTAAAGTACAAACAGCAAGAAAGCTGGTTGGGTATTCATTATCTCACGGAGCAACCACATTCTGCATCAGGCTGGTATAGCATTCAAGCTTCCAACAAGCACCACAAGGATGGAACTGGAAGCCATAGAGCAAGCTCTCCTCTGGATTGATGAAAGCAATGAACTACAGGTAGACAGTGCCGGGAACATAATATTCACAACTGACTTCCAGCCCATGCTACATAAAACTCAGAGTGATTGGTCCTCAGGTAGATGAGAGAAAACAAAGTAACTTTATGGTAAGACCACTAGCTAGTTGTGTGTACCAGGCATTACAGAGGTAAAGTTAAATCAGGAAGCTGATGAGCTTGCAAAAGAAACCCCTATATCAAATCGAACACAACTCTGCTGGAATGATATCAATCTCCTCTGCAATAGTAAGGCAAAATCAGCAACCATGGAAGGCCCCCAGCAACATATGGTGTACATAGGAAAAGCAAAAGGTGGATAAATAGAT